GGGACGGAAGGTCCCACCTCCCCCCGCCTCCTCCCCGCCCCGGGGGCCGCCCCGCGGGACACGGGGTTCCCCGCGCAGGGTCGGGGCGACCCGAACCCCCCGGCGGCTCCACAGTCCCAGGCGAGTGGGGAAGGGGGAAAAGGGATATGTTACAACACACCCGCCGTGCAGAGCAGGGGGGAGCGCCGTGGGGGCGGGCAGGGCGTCAGGGGGCACAGAAACCAAGGCCAGAGCAGCGGCAGCCCTGCGGCAGGAGGCACCATCGGAGCCATAGGTGGCCACTGGAAGCCCTCCCTGTTGTGGGGCCCGGGGAACAAGCGCAGCTTAAGGAAGAGCCAAGCCGGCCTCAAACATCGGCTCCCTCGCTGAGGAGGTAACTCCCTTAGCACCAGCCCAAAGCAGGAGAAAACCGGAGAAAGCGACCGGCCAGACAAGATTTATTCTGTCTCTTGGAATGGGCTTTACACGTGGCTCTGGAGAAGGTCACCTCCCCACAGCCAGAGCGGAGATGCGAGGCTGGACGTTTATTCACAATGAAGGAAACAAGAAGCTGCAGCCAAGGCCCCGGGGGTTGGAGCAGAGCATAGGGCTCCATGTGTCACCTTAACCATCATGGACAGGCGGTGACTCTTTGCCAGGGCCTCTCACAAAGCAAATCACTCCGAGCCAGTGTTTTGTAGAGGGTAACGCAGCCTCTCTGCTCCCGTGGGGGAAGGGAGGGCACAAGACAGGAATAAATATAACTTTCCGAGACTCCCCAACCCTGCGCGCGCTGCCGCAGCTGTGACCCACGATCCAGTGAACAAGCAGACAGAGCCTCAAGACTGGCTCGTTCGTGTCTTGATCTCCTCAGCAAGGTTCTCCCTGCGAACATCAACCTACAAAGGGAGAGCAGAGAGTTCCAGAACACAGAGTGAGGGGCCTGATGTGCTGCGATGTCCCCAGGTCCCAGGGAACGGTCCACCCTGCATGCGCTGCTCTCCGTCTCCAGAGACCCCAGCGCAAGGCGCTCTGGTCCTTGCTCCTCCCCACAGATCCAGCAGCAAAGGCAGCTCTGGCTTCTAACAACCAGGAGCTCACAGGGCGAGTCACGCTGGGCCCGACAGCCAGTGCATGGATCACTGCTGTCCCCGCTCATCCGAACGCAGCAAACCCCGAACGATCCATGATGTCCTCTGTGAGGGGGACATGAGCAAACGCTACCCAGGGAGATCCCTCCTACGCTCCAGACCCTGAACTGAGGAGGAACTGGGAATTCCAGGAAACTACGGCCACGTCCTCAGGGCTGCCCTGAGCTGTGGTGACGGGTTAAGGAGCTGCCAGTCCCACACCGAGGTACCGCTGGCCTCACCTCCTCCCTCGTGGCCACAACCCGCAGCTTCACAACTCCGTCCTTGAGTTCCTGCTCTCCCACAATGGCAACAAGGGGGACGCCCGTGTCCTCGCAGTACTGCAGCTGATTCAGTAGCTTGGGGTTCTTCTTGTAGAGCATCTCTGCCTGGAAGAAACCTCAGGTACAACACTGTGCTTGGCCCTGGCCTATTTCTTTGCACCCCCAGCACCATTCCTGCCACTGGGCAGGAGCTGGAGCAGTGCCTGACTTGGGAATCCAGCCTAAGCTGAAGACACAGCCAGAGCAGCCCCCGCTGTGCTGAGGGGTAACCCCACTGCATCCAGTCCTTCCCAGGGAACGTCCTATTTAGGATGCAGAGAAGAGCCAGGCTGCTGGCAGCAAGGAAATTTGCTGCCACCTTCTCCCCACAACTCCCTTCTCTCCAGGCAGAACGAGCTCTGGTCTCTTCCTGGCACAGGGAACAGGAGGGAGGAGCAGGCAGCTCCTCACTTGGCCACCAGTGGTTTGTACCTTGATTCCAGCGTCCCACAGCTCGGAGATGAGCTTCAGCCGCTCTTCGAGGAGCTTCTTCTGGGCAGAGGCCACAAGCACCTGTGTCTCTGTTGTCCGAATCTTCTCTGCAGAGGACTGGAGGAGAGGCAGACTCCATAAATGCCAGGCACACACAGAGATATCCCAGGCCCTATGAGCAGGGAGGGTCCATGTCCCAGGTTCATGTGTTCAGCAGAAGACCAGGCTCAGAGGGAGGAGGTCACAGACTCAGAGAGCTCCAGAGACCCCATCCTGCAGCCAAATCCAATCTTCTGGCATTGCCCTGTGTCCTTAACACAGCCTCCCTTCTACACCACAAACATGTGCAGGCTGCTGAGGATGAGCAAATACCTCTTACCTCTTCTCTAGAGGCTGTTCCTCTGCACCCAAGTTTGCAGCCTCAGAGGAACCTGCTTTGAGTGGCTTCAGAGCAGCCTGGCAGGAATGGGACAGAGCCAGTGTCTGCTCCACAGCTGGGCTCGATGTAACAGCAGCAAGAGGAAAAGCTTTGGCAGCATCAGGAATAATCACGAGCCACCTGCTCCCAAGCAAGACACTGGATACTCAAAGTGGCACTGCCCTCCCTCTGCCTTTTCTGGAGACGGAAACCTTTAAAGGTCACCTGCAGAAGGACAAACCTGCCCAGGATTTGTTTTCCATTCAGAAATCCAGATTTTGGCTGGCTGCCAGGAGCAGAGCTCCTCAGAGCTGGGCTCTGGGGGATGCAAATGGGAACCTGTGGGTTGGGAACCTACAAAGACAAGCTTGGCACTCATTGAATAGGATGGAAGATGAGGAATGAGCAGAGAAATGAGAAAAAGGGAACAGAAAAAAGAGGCTGGAAGCCCCCAGACGCACTGTGCTCCTCCATCTGGAAGATCCAACGCCTTTCTGGTATCCATAGTACCATGTGTGTGATGAGGACACATGCAGGGCTGCTGTCACCTTGTCAGCCTTGCACGTCAGTGCTGACTTGCCAAGAAGGGTCCCATGTCAAGCACCGAGGCACTTACCTCCACTTTCTGCTCCATGATGGAGAAGATGCGCTCGATCCCAATGCTGACTCCCACACAGGGCACCTTCCGCCCCTTGGGATCAAACATCCCCACCAGCCCATCGTAGCGGCCACCTCCGGCTACGCTCCCGACGCTGACTGGCTCCTCCACGTGGTCGTTCTCCTGCTGCACCAGGACAGCCTCAAAGATCACCCCTGTGTAATAGTCCAGGCCTCGCGCCAGGCTCAGGTCAAAGCAGATCTGCAGGACACAGAACCCCGTCAGTGGGCGCAGCTGGGCAGCCCAGGGCTCCCTCCTGCCCCCAGCACCTCCTCACCTTCCCCGTGATGCCAAAGAGTGTCAGGTACTCAAAGAGCAGCTTCATGTCCCCCAGCCCCTCCTTGGCGAGCTTGTTCTGAGACAGCTTGGGGTCCTGCAGGAGCTGCTCGATCAGCTTCAGGCCACCTGTGAGAACAGGGCATGTGTGGGCTCTGCTGTGGGGCAGCAGCTGGGCAGCACCGGCCTCTGCCTGACCTGGCCGAGGGTTGTTGCACTTGTAGGGACAGTGAGAACATCAGGGATCCAGCCTCTCCTGGGGACCCTGTGTCAGCCCCCTGTCCTCCCTCCTGCACAGGAACCAGCTCATCTGCCCTTGAGGACTGCATTAGAGAAGCAGAAAATCAAACGTAGCCAAAGCTGAGGCCTCTGAGGCATCCATGAATTTTTCTTAGTAGCACATTATTAATATATGTCCTTTGAACCTCCACAGAAACATGACATAACAACTGACACTGTAGGAGCACTTTGTAACAGTGTGACACTACTAATCGCATTGCCAGCAACAATGTAATAACCTTCTGTTACAGAACTTGGAAAAATAAATAACCAACAAGTAACCACAAAGCAGGGAACAAACCAGTGGCAGTAGCACAGAGAGGTGAAGGCAGGCTGAGGCACGGTGCAGGATCTCTGCAGCACGGGATGCAGGATGCAGGCACACGGGACAGCGGGAGCAGAACAAGTGCTCGGGTTAGAAACAGGACAAACTATGCTGGGAGCAGACAAAGCCCCTCTGTTTTTGGGGGGATGGACTCAGGAGCCTAAGAACACCAATAACTAGTGATGAAAACCAGGAAGAAATGGGGCTGGCTTCTTTAGCTTCATCTTCCCTTCGTGGGAAGTTCGAGTTGCTTCCAGCCAAGCTGCTGGGATCATCAAGGATGGAGCCATCAGTGCATCCGTGTTGCTGGATGAGACATTGCCAAGCAGGAACAGCACTTGCTCAGCAGCCAGCACAAGCATTTCGGCAGCCAGTACAACAGTTTCAGTTTGACTTGGCCCTGGCCCCTGCACGGTTAACTGCCTTCACATGTGGCAGCTCCGCAGCTCTCTACTTCTAGACTACCACAGCAGTTTGCCAACGCACCAGAACCTCTTCTCTGAAGTCCTGAAATTTCAGAAACAATTCCAGAACATAAATACAAATTTTTTAACCCACCATCCTAAAACTACATTAGAAAAGGCTTCTAGATGTTGTGGCTCATTCTGGAAGGTGGGATCCCAAGTTCTAGGTACATCAGCAGTGCCAGCTTAAGGTGCCTGGAATTTGGGATATTAATTTGAAAGGTCTGCAGAGCCTCTAAGGAGAGGGACACCCTTCCCTACCTCCCTCCTCCCCATTTGTCAGCTCCATGTGGAATGTTGGAGGAGAAAGCACAGAACCCAGTTGTGCAAAGTGGCTGCAGTGCACAACAGGCCTGGTCCTCAGCATTTGTGTGGGAAAAGAAAGGAAGCAACAGTAACAACTCAATTATTGGCATATTCCAGCCAATTTCCATGGTCAGAGACCCGCCAAAAGCCCAGTAGCAACTGCCACAGCCTAGGAGCTCCAGCCAGTACCTTATCCAGTTTGTCCACGCTGGAGCAGATTGTCCGGAACTTGCTGTCTGGGACACCACAAACTGCAAACATCCCATCCAGGATGCGGCGGTCGTTGACCTGAGGGACAGAGAACAGGTTGTTTGCTATGAATCCAAAGATGTGCATCACCTGAATCCAGTTTCCCTCCTCTCTGATTTTAGATACGGAAGAGAAAGGTTTAGGTATGGTGGAAAAGAAACAACACAGGCAACCTGCAGCACAGGTAGGTTTTACTGCTTATAACTCCTGGGCAATTTTTCCTCAATTCTGGGGGAGCAAAACTGCATCTCTCCCCACAGTAGGTCAACCAGTACAGCTGATTCTGACCAAGCCTGAGTAGAGCCATCAGCTTCTCCTTCTAGAGCCACAGGCACCTCCAGCACCTCCACTCAACAGAGAAAAAAGCTGAAGAAAACTGGTGGGACCTACAAGGCCCCTTATACAGGGTGCAGGTTAAAAAACAGCTCAGGAACAGACCACGAACTGCGATAAATTCAGCATACTACCCTGTCCTCTCGAAGTGAGGACAAAGTGATATCTGGTTATGTTATAACCTTGCTGAGGGATTCTTTCTTTGATAGCACAGTAAATTCTATGGTTTAATTATGCTCTGCAAGCGGAGGTACTTAAGGACGAAGGCTTAGCTGGATTTAGTTTCTACAGCCAGCGAGAACATCTGCAGTTAAATCAGACAGAAGCAGAGACTGTTCCAAGGTTATAAACACTCCTGCATCGACAGGAACCAGATGGTCACTCCTGGAAGACATGGAGCTCTTCCCACCACAGGCAGCCTATTCTGCCATTCCCCGGTGTGTGCCTGGCCTCGAAGGGATCTGCTGGTGCCACTGACTAAAACACCTGTGTATGTCTTCTAAAAGAGGTCTCAGCTGTACACAGGAGCTGCTGGGAAGGCACCAATTTGTTTGTGCAAGAGTTGTCCCTACTAAGACCATATCGGAAGCGAGCACAATGGCAAGGATCCTGGGTTAGAGCCTGTATTTTACTGCAGGCAGTTTATATGACAGCCACGTTGTTATTCCACCCGAAAACAGAGACAGCAAAAGAGCAGGGAGAGGCAGGGAAGGAACAGGCACTCTGGGCAGCGGCCACTGCTTTTTACTGCAGCAAAGAGTCCTGCCTGGGGACCTGCCTCTGCTCTCACCTTAATGAGAAAGTCTCCAAGCTGCAGCTCGCTCAGGATCTCGTGCACTATTTTCAGGCACTCGGCATCAGGAATCATAGGATCAAACTGGCCGGCGATGTCAAAATCCTGGGGACAGGAAAAGGCAGTGAGGACTTTGGCATCGCTACTATGGCTGCAGCAGCAGCAGGTCCCTAGGAAAGCTGGTCAACTGTATTTAACAAATGATACAGAAAAAGCTGCTAGGCTGGGCAGAGATGAAAAGCACATCATGAGAGAAAGGGGGTGTCACGCTTTATTTACTCAGTTTTAGGAAGGTTTCTCTAAGGGAAAACTTGAGAAGAGGACAGATAGGAAAGGATGAAAGCTACTGTTTAAACAACTGCACTGGCACAAGGGAAAAAAAAAAACCTGTAATTTCATCTTGGATACTTAAAGATCACTTCTAATTAGCCTAGGAATAACATCTTGGAATGATCTTTCCAATGAGACAAATGAGGCAAATTCCAGGTATTTCGGAAATGGAAATTTGGCGGCACTGGGAGTTCGAAGATATCAACAGAGACTGTACGAAGAAACAGCAATATTCTCAATTAAGAATTAGTTTGTGAAACGAGGCCCTGTGGACTGTGTCAATGCAGTGGCACAAACCCACTCCTCGATGCTCCACAAAGGGAGCTGCCTTCTAACCTGTTCTGTAAGGAGGCGTCTGGGTTTTTCTGCACCTTCCTTTGAAGCAGAGGATGGACCACGCACAGGATGGAAGCCTAAGTGCTGGGCTTGCCTGCCTGATCCACATGTCCTGCTGGCACACCCTGATGTTAACCTGGCAACAGGCTCAGCATCACGGGAGGAAATTCTTCCCCTAGGCCAGGCTGGCAGACACCGTGGGATGGAGTAAGGAGCTGCTCTCCTCTACAGTGTGAGGCACAGCCTGCTCCTGCGGCACTGGGCCTTTAGTGCCTGTGTTATGGCTGTTGTTTTCAGTCTCTCCGAGCATCTCACAGCCATGGGGACACGACTAAGCTCAGAGTAGCACAGACTCTGGGGTTATGTCCCCACAGCCACTGCCCAGCCCTGCTCAGCAACACCCCTGCCGACAGCCGAACTCACACACTGGTAGAACTCCCTGTAGCGGCCCCTGGTCATGGCCGGGTTGTCCCTCCTGTAGACCTTGGCAATGTGGTAGCGCTTAATGTTGGTGATTTTGTTCATTGCCAAGTAGCGAGCGAAGGGCACCTGATGACGAAGGGTTAAGGATAGACATGGAGAGGAATCAACCCACCCAGGAATTACCCACAGTGCAGAACCACCCCATCTGCTCATGCTCTCTGTGCCACTACAGGGCTGAGAACCAAGAGTGTCCTCCCTCCTCCTCCTCCCTTGCCCCCGGTCGAAGCTGTCCCAAAAGGAGGATCCCAAAGACAACAAGACCCCTCAGCACTGCAGGAATGGGGCTGTGGCAGGATACAGTCAAGTCGTAGCGCAGGGATAGCAGCTCTCCCCCCTGATCTTTCAGATCATAGATGAGTTTTGAGTCTTCTCCGTACTTCCCTGTCAATGTTTCCTGCAAAACAAGCACACATCAACCAACGACGTCTTCAGTGCCAGGGGATCACAGGATCACATAACGACTGAGGTCAGAAAGGACCTCTGCAGATCATTTAGTCCAACCCTCTGCTCAAGTAGCGTCACCTAGAGCAGGTTGCCCAGGATTGAGTCCACGTGGCTTATGAGTATTACCAACGTTGGACAGTCCACAACCTCCCTGGGCTACCTAAAAGCTCATCTAGCCCTAAAGTACACAGAGAACAAGAACATAAAGCAACGACACTCCAGGAAGTGGAAGAAAATACTCCTTGGTCCTCCAGTTTACTAGAGAGAATCCACTGCTTCCTGAGATCACAGGTTCCTTATGATCAGTGTTGATGAATTTCCCAGCCCGTAAGGGCCACCCAAGTAAGTGCTTTCAACTGCAGCATCTGAAAGGGCTCAGCCAACTTGCTGCACCCTTGCTCACCTTCAGCTCAAACACTGGCGTGTCAATAACCTCTGCCCCGTGGCGCTTAAAGCAGGTAATGATGGCACTGAAGACTCTCTCCCGAATGGCCATTTGCTTGGGGCTGTAGTCCCGCGTGCCCTTGGCAGACAAGGAAAAGAAGAGCAAACAGCACATCAGGTTAGAGGCAGAACATCCCTGGCAACTCTGTGTTGAGGACCACGGCAGCAGAGAGGAGAGGAGTGAGGTGCAGGATCTACTACAACCATGTCCAGAAACCGGGTGTCAGCACAGCTGGCAAAAAGCAGCACCAAGAATATCAGGACTCAGCGCATATGTGGACTGTCACGGTCAGCAGGGCTAAACATGAGGTGGGTGTTTCAAAAAGCAGGAGCCAAAGGAGCTAATGTGGACCTAGGACTCAGAGAGCTCAGTGCTCTTAAAGCAGAGGCTACAGTCAGGATGCGACTTTAGTTACACACTTTGATTTGGATGCACCAACCAGATCCATACAATAACCCATGTTAACTGCTGGGCTTAAAGGGGAGACAGCCTGTTAAACAAGCAGTAGCTTTATATTTTCCAAAGAAGTCACATAGAGAGGTCAGACACTTTCAAAGGATGCAAACTTCCCATTTATTGTTCAACTGGGGTGGGCTCCCTCCTAATTCTGTCACTATTAAGAGTCAGTGAATCACACTGATCACCCCCTTTGGGCTTTCAGCAACACATAATTGGCTGTTACTTAACAAAATATGTTTTCTAGGGACAGTCAGATAGGAGAAAGCAGGGAGGTCAGGCATATTACACTCAGAACACCCTCCTTGCAGGTCACACAGTGAAGAGTGGCTTTCAGTATTGCCCTGACATGGCTAAGACAGGAAGGAGACCGCAGCTGTGTTTCCCCTGGAACTCACAGGGCTGGGAATCCCCTCTCCAAACCTTTAAATAGTGAGATACTCATCCTCTTTCCAGGTTTCGGATCACAATTACATTTATCAAAGCATATGATAAAGGAAATGGAATAATCAAGTGAGAAAGTTCTTAGTTTCCCCTCAGTCATGGATGTTGGCATAAGCTGCTTTATTAGTGAATACTAATAGCTGTCTACAGGTCACAGTGTGGCAGAGCAGTTTGCTCAACTGCTAGTGAAGAAACACCCGGAATACAAAACTTTCAGCATAAGCTGTGTTGCAGACACTGTTCTCTGAGGCCTAAAGACTAGAAGGCTGTGAGAGAAGGGCTAGAGGACAGCGATGGTGGCAGCAGGCCAGACTCTGGAAACAGGGTGGCTCCACTCGCACAGACTGATGCAAGACCAGAAGCCATGAGAAAAAAGGCACCTTTTCTCCGAGCCACACAGTAGCTCACCAGAGGTAACACAAATCATACTCCAAACAGGGAAAAAATACTGTGTCAGAGAATTACATAATGGCTGAGGTTGGAAAGGACCTCTAGAGATCATCTAGTCCAATCTCCCTGTTCAAGAGCCAGGCAGATGCAAGACCTGCAGCTATGAAATAACTCGCTTGAACAGGGCCATATTTCCTTAACTGCATGAGTTTGTGGTTGGCTTGTGGCAGATGCAACAGAAACCTTTAAGTTTTAGTAGGAATATCTGGGTTGGATGCTGAGGGCTATTTCCATCTTTGTCTCTTCTTGCACCTAGCCATTAGGAGCGCAGAGGAAACAGAAATGGCAGCAAAGACAGGCTGAGATTCTGCACATGTAGTGAGGGGCTGCTCCTGCAAGGAGGCTGTGTGTACAGAGCACATGCGCGTGGAGATGTCACCTTTGGGGTCTTGAGCACGAACTTGGACTTGCCCTCGTCACCCAGCTGCGCCTTCATCTCCAGCAGCTTGGCCACCTCCTTGGAGATCTGGGCCGGGAACAAGGAGGGAATGCAGGGGTAAAGCGGCCAGGTGGGCCCCGGCCCTGCAGTCACCTCATCTCAGCGCACCCAGGCCCTGCCGCCCCCGCAGGCCCTGCAGCCTCCCCAGCTCCAGAACATCGGGTCCCCCCTCTCGTGTGCCCCGAGCCCAGCACACCTCAACCCAGTGTCCCCAGCCCCCTCCACCCTCTCCCCCTCGTGCTCTGTCCCCATCTCGCCTCATCCCAGCGCTCGCAGTCCCCTCAGTCACCTCACCCCGGTGCGCCCAGCTCCCCCCTCACCCCGGCGCTCCTTGTCCCCGCAGCCTCCCCAGCTCCGGCACCCCGCACCGCACCTCGCCGGGCTCGGCCTTCTCCTGCTTGAGCCGCCGCACAGCGTCCGCCTGCGCCCGCACAGCCGCCTCGTCCGCCATGGCGCCACCACCCCGCGCGCCGGCGCACTGCGGCGGCACC